CAAGTAAGTTCTGATCGGGTACGGATTATAAATGTGTAGATTTTGATTTTTTTAATAATTGAACCGTAATTTTAGATCATTGTTTAGTTATAATTATCATTTTTTTAAGATTTTAATTATAACTATCATCTAAATGAGATGTAAAATAAACTAAAATGACTGTAGTAAGCGAATTTATTCGAAAGATTAATGTATTTTTAGAAAATTGATTAAAAACAATTTGACTCATTTAAAAATTAAATGTACTAATCACAATTTGATTCATAAACCTAAAAACTTTATTTTATTAGATATTTTTCAGATGTGCTTTTAATTTCTGAGTAGGTAAACTGTAATTATAAAAAAGATCAAAATTTTTAAAATCTATATTTTTAAAATAAAATTAATTAAATTCAAAATAATTCTAAAAAATTAAAAAAAATTTACACTGGTATTTTAAGATAATAAAAATTCAATTCAGAAGTCAACATAACCCCGAACTAAAATATCTATTCACATTTAAAAAAAAATCTAAGAAAAATCAGAAACTTCTACGGTTCTAACCGATCAAGCCATCAACTCGAGGACATAGTTTTTCTAAGCTGTCGAATTCAAAAGAGAAGAGGGAAAACGGAAAAAAAATCTTACTTTTTATTTCGGACACATTGAACATGTGCTCCAAAAGATTTCAGTGTCTGAAACTCTATAAAACAGCGAACTCATTTCTTCAAAAGATCACAAAACAGACAGAAGAGATAAACAAAAATGGCGATCATTCTCTCTTTCCTCTGGCTTCTGCTCCCTACTCTCTTGTCATTATTCTTCATAAAGAAGATCAAGCAGTTCAAACTGAAGCTTCCTCCCAACCCTCCTCAGCTTCCGGTCATCGGAAACTTGCATCAGCTCGGAGAAACAGATTTACCCCACAGATCTCTTGCGGTGCTCTCCAAGAAATATGGCCCCGTCATGCTTCTCAGATTAGGGTTTGCACCAGTGGTGGTGATCTCGTCGAGCGAAGGGGCTGAAGCAGTTCTCAAGACCCATGATTTGGAGTGTTGCACTCGACCTAAGCTTTTCGGGACGCGAAAACTCTCCCATGGTTACCGAGACATCGGTGTCTCGCCTTACGGGAAAGGGTGGAGAGTGAGGCGAAAGCTCGCGGTCCGTGAGGTTTTCAGCGTGAAAAAGGTGCAGTCTTTCATGGGCATCAGAGAGGAGGGGTGTAACTTATTGGTCAAGGAACTGACTGAATCGGCTTTGAAGCAATCTCCGGTGAATTTGAGCAAAACCCTTTTGTGGTATTCAGCCAATATCATATTCCCGCATTCGGACAGGATTTCCACAAGAGCAAGATCATCGATAAGGACAGGATGGAAGATCTTATCTTCGAGGCAGAGACAGTTTTCGCAAGCTTGAGTTACTCTGATTTCTTTCCCGGCGGCGTCGGTTGGATGATTGACTGGTTGAAAGGGCAGCATCAGAGAATGGAAGAAATCTTCGTCGAGATGAACACATTTTTCCAGAAAGTGATCGACGAGCATCTGAAACTTGAACGATCAACAGAAGATCGGAGAGATGTCATTGATGCTATGTTAGAGATGGTTCAAAATCATGGCAAAGACGGATCTTCCAGCTTCTCTGAGTTAAATGTCAAGGCGGTTTCAGTGGTAAGCATAATGTTTTGGACATGAAAATGCATATCTTATATCATAAAGTTCCAAACTTTATCTCGTTTTCTGCTTGCCTTTGTTCTCAGAATCTGTTTCTGGCGGGCATAGACACAAGTGCCATCACCATGATATGGGTGATGACAGAACTTGCGAGGAAACCAGCCCTCATGAAGAAAGTTCAAGACGAGATCCGAAAATGTATAGGCGACAACAAGGAGATGATCACACAAGAAGATGTGGATAAAGTACATTACTTAAAGCTTGTAATAAAGGAAACACTAAGATTACACCCACCAGCTCCAATGTTACTTCCGAGAGAAACAATGTCTCAGATCAAGATTCAAGGCTATGATATTCCGGCAAATACTCGCCTTCAGATCAACACGTGGGCAATCGGACGAGATCCCAAGTATTGGACAAACCCTGACGAGTTCAATCCCGACAGGTTCATCGATAACCCGATAGATAACAAGGGACAACACTTCCAGTTGTTGTCGTTTGGATCTGGTAGAAGGATGTGTCCTGGTATGAATCTGGGAATGGCCAACGTGGAGTGGGCATTAGTGAACTTGCTCTACTTCTTCGACTGGAAACTGCCTCGAGGGATGGAAGCGACAGACATCGATCTTGAAGAAGCTGGTACTCTTACAGTTATCAAGAAAGTGCCTCTTGAACTTGTTCCTGTCCTACGCCATTGATCGATGAGGCCAATCACCGCCTGGAGTCTTTCGATGTGACATATATTTCTTTTTTAAGCTTTTCTGATAATTAATAATAATGGCATGTAATGTTTCATCCTTTTGTACCAGTTTGGTTTCCTATAAAATTTTTAGATTCTTTTTAGCTGCCATTAGAACACATATACACAGCTTCCAAACTCGCAGAAGGAGAAAGAACATGAAGACAACTGAAACCTAGGAAGAGGCATGATGATGATATCTACTGCTTATGGGCCAAACAGAAACGATAATTTTTTTTTGGTATAAAAATCTAGAGCAAATTTAGTACTATTCAGAGAATAATTGGAAAGTATGATGAGTGTAACGCCCCACGACTGTTATGAACGTCGAAAGTGCTCTTACACACCAATAAAAACTTTCCTACGTATTTTATTCTCACTTGTACGCATACCGAAATACTTTCCACTAGATCAACCATACTAAGATTGCTCTAGCACGATTAACTTTAGAGTTCTCTCGCGATAGTCTATCAAAAAGATATGTGCAACTTATTGATATGATTAATCCAACTAATTTTTTTTATGTTATCTTAGACCGTATAGTCTCATATTGTATACAATCTTCGAATCTCTCTCATTACGGTATATTCGATTCGTTCATGTATCCTCTAGCCTAGCGCTACTCGGGAGTTGCTCATTGTGCATACCATCTACACCGGCGATCACTTCCACTCTCATCTTAACACCAACTGTCACAATGAGTTTCAATTCGTATAGATTTTAGATATCGTTGTGTTTTCTATTTGGACTTGCGTTTATCTATTTTTAGGATAAGAATTAGGAATTTTAATAAAAGAAAAAATATATTGTATATTTAAATGCATTCGATTATTAACAACAGAGCACCAATCGAGCCTTCCCTTTGACCCACTTACGAAAATGTATATGGAATCGCTCGGGGGATAGAAGAAGCTCGATCAATACACTAAAACCCTAGTCTCTAACGATTTTTTTTTTTTTTTGATAATCCGTAAGTTCACCGGGTTTTTGACCCGATTACATCTCCCAGAAGACCGGGAAAGTCCAGGTGAATGCCCCTCTCCACGCTTTACGATCTACTCCATCTAACGATTTATGATCTCGTATTCAGGTAAACAAAATTATTACATTATCAAGTTAAGTTATATCTCAGTTTCGCATAATTTTTGTTTTTTTTTAAAAAGACTTTTATTTCTCAGTATGTATAGATTTTCTGGTATTTGTATCATTGTATGAATGAACGTACATGCATAGGCAGAGGAAAAAACAATGCACGTACTTTTTTTGTGTAAATATTATAGTAGACCATATTGGGCCGAGCCCATAAGACCCATAATACTCTACAAGGCCCAAAGAAAGTTTGCTTGACATTGAAACTTGAAAGTCAAAGATTCAACGCTCGTGGTCAAAAGACCTTGACTTCGGTTTCTGAATTTCGGGGCAAACATTTGCTTCACTTTTATTTTTTTGACTTTTCTACGTTAATGTATATTATTTTTATATTGTTTTTTTATTTCATACGGATTTGATTTTTTTTTATAAAAAAACTGTATTCAATTAATTGAAAATCAAATTTGATTTGAATATGAAACGATTATCTATTTATTTTATAATGTTTAATTTTATATATCTAAATTGGAATAAAAAATCATTTATGATGTATTGTGTTTGAGAGCAGGAAATACAATTCTATATGAGAAAAGTTATGTAATCTAAAGTCCATCTGGGAAAATTTAAGGACAGAAGAATTCAAACGCACGTGCCTTTTACTTTGGTCTTTCTTTCCGAATGTAAATATCCTTTGGAATTTAATTTTTTTATTGCTCATGTTGAAGTTGATACATTGAACCAAATTGAGAATATCTTTATATAGCCGTTAAAAAAAAATTGGTAGCTCCATATCATATATATCTTTGATGTTAGACATAGACTAGTAATTACTTGAGATATTATGTTCTATAATCATTAAATATAATATCTTTATTTTGGCTAATGAATGCATTTAAATATAATATTTTAAAGCTACTAATTAATATATAACTATGGTTGCAAACACAAAAACTATTATTATAGTTGAAACTCAAATATGAGAAAGGATATTCACCTGATTTTTTTTTATCTCTAAATCTGGAGATTAATCGGTATTTTAGTATAGAATATCCGATTACAAAAAAATATTATTCCGTATGATAAAAAGAACTCTAGAAAGAAACTATTATATGGGTACCAATTATATGATATGCATTTATATTCCATTTTCCTATTTCTTTTAACTTAACTACATCACAGTTGGAGAGAGATTTTCACAGAGGATTCAGAGCCGTCCATGTGAAAATCTCTCTCCAACCAGGTATCGAACCGTCAACCTCTGAATGTTTTATATCCACCTGTTGACCACTCACCCAAACTATTGGGTCTATTATTATTACACACGCGGGTACCATTTTAAGAAAGAAACTATTATATGGATACCAATTATATAGAAGTTTTATATTGTTCATGTTCAAGATATAGTAATATATACACATAAACACAAGAAACCAAATTTACAGAGATTAAGTATATTATAGGACTGGTGTTTTTCATTCTACAAATTGACCAAAAATGTTAGTCCATTGATGAATCCCCTCACGCCATACCAAACGCCATTTTATTTTATTACTCAGAGATGACAAAAGGACCCTCTCAGCAGCAGAAGAAACTGCCCGGAATTACATCTATGAATATATATATTTTTTTTTAAAAACGCATAAAATAAAACTAATGACCACATTGCAGAAAAAGACAAAAAAAAGAAGATAAAGAACACAAAAAATACAAAACAGAAAAGAGTCCACTTGCCACACTCCAACTGCTTCCACGAAGCAGGGTGACTACGAAACATCTCTCGCTACTTCCCAACCCTTTTGTGTGTATATATATCACACAACACACATCTCTTCATCTCCCACACTTGAACAGCTTCCTTGATCCAATCTCTCTTCCTCCTCAAAAAAGATCAAGAATCAGAATCTTGATCTTCTCTCCAAGCTTCAGACAGACCAAAACACACTCCGAGTCCAGTCCGATTTGGATTCCGACATGGCGAATGGCCGAGAACAATCAGCCCTGGAGCTCATAAGACAACACCTCTTGTCAGATTTTTCCTCCGCCGAGACCTTCTTCGCCAGCCTCCACCACCTCACCTCCGCCGTCATACCGGAACCATCTTCCACGTTAGTGCCGCCTGTCTTGAGCATGTCAGTTACTACTACGGCAAGTACTTCACCGATGCCTAGTGATGATGATGATGATAACAACATTGTGATGATGAGCAATCACCAACATGATCGTCATGAGGAGAGGCATTACAGAGGCGTGAGGCGTCGTCCATGGGGGAAATACGCGGCAGAGATTAGGGATCCAAACAAGAAAGGAGCCCGAGTCTGGTTAGGGACTTTCGACACTGCCATTGAAGCTGCAAGAGCTTACGACAGAGCTGCTTTTAGGTTACGTGGGAGCAAAGCAATCCTCAACTTCCCTCTTGAAGCAGGCAAGCATTGGAATGCAGACAACAACGATGGAAGTGATCACTGTATTGTAAGGAAGAGGAAGAGAGAAGTACGCAAAGAAGAGAACTTGGAGAGCAACGATACCTCGGCCCGCAAGGCAGTGAAGACAGACGCAGATGAAGTTCAAGTTTGTCCATTAACGCCGTCAAGATGGATGGAGTTTTGGGACGGAGGAGATGACAAAGGGATGGGATTCTTGACGGTGCCTCCGTTATCTCCTCATCCATCTCGTGGGTACTCCCAAATTGTGGTTACCTGAGCTTCACAAGGGAAGACGATAAACAATGGGAATACATCAAAACAAAAAGGAGATATAGAAAAGAAATAATGATAAGAGTCACTATCACAACACAAGTTGGTGGCTTCTTTTTTTTTGTAGCTGTTCATAAGCTTATAGATTAGCCTATTGTACATTAATTGTATCCGTTTAATTCGTCTTAATGAATGAGATCTTGAATCTTCCACACCGGTGAGTATACTAATTTGGTAACAAAAAATCCTCAGTTGCTAAGACCCGTTTCTCGTTTGATTGGGTCACTTATTAATCGACGCCTTCCTACCTGCAATCACAAGAATTCGGGGATCATTTCCATTCCATAATGCATACAGATTTATATTATACGAGAAGAAACAATCAAACATGAAAATTTTGGGCTTATCTATCTAAAAGTGTAATGGACTTGTGGGCAATGTGTGAGTTGTACCTCCGATTTCAAGTGAGGAAATGATCATGCGTTGTACGACATTGGCTCCTTCTACATGCATTGTTTCATTTTTAGCCTGCACAAAGCCAAACACCATAGAGCCCATTATCAAGCTTCGACTTACGCTTTGGTTACACTAAATACTAAATATAAACCCCACTCGAAAGAAGAACACAGCAGGGAAAAATATTAACAACATGAGCTAGTCCACATAAGTGATGTTGTAATGGTCACATTGTCGTTAGAAAAATGCATATAAGTTTTGGGAGAGAGAGAGCAGTATAAGTTACAACACTATGAGCAGCAAACCTTTGCCTGCTGCTGTGGAAGATAACTAACATCGACTTTCTCCTTTACGAAACAGACTGAGAGGCCTCTGATCATTTTCTATGCAAATCGCATCGGCACATAGGTTTCAAAAACCCACGAAGCGATATATGAAATAAATGACCAACCGAAGCAAAATGGGTATGCTAAATACCGAGAACAGACGACAGACTATTACTTGAGCAGAGAGTTTAAAGACACAACAAAACTAAGATAACCAAATGAACAGGATTTCCTAAAGTGTAGTTTTACCTTCTATGTCGTCTGAGTTTTTATCGCCTTCTGATGCATCCTCTGCATCACATGGTTTGCAGTGTTCTTCATGAACAATATGAGGGTATTTCTCGTTAAGAGGATCCTCCCAGTAGTAACAAGGATAATTCATTCGCCAAAATCTCATCATATCCAAAATCCCAAACAGAGAAATCTAGCCCAATCACCATATTCAGTTTGTTTTCTATCCTTATCTAGATGAAGTACATAAGTTCAGTTGAAGATCTGGCCGAAGAGGCTTATGCACAAACCCTTCTGAGTGAAAGTAGTTGTACAAAAGGTTAAAAGTGATATTGGTCGAAAAAACATGAAGGAAAAAAGCTTATTTCAAATTTTAAATTCACATAGATATAACTTCACAGAAGAATAGACCAAGATGCCAAATAATGTAAATTAGACGAGTCTATGTATGCAGTTACCTGCGTATCATCCCAAGAATCCAAATGAGGTGCAGCTACAGTGATGAAGTTTCATAGCCTCCAGGCCACATATTGTGCCATTTGAAGTCTCTTCACCAGTGTTCCCCGATGAATCTTTCCATACTCCATGCTTAGCTGGCCTGTATAACTTACCAATTGCATACCTTTTGCTGCAAGCCCTACCAAGGAATATTGTGCCACAGAGGCGATCTTGCGGGTATTTGGTTTTCTTTGAATTGCTTCATGTACCTGATAATATCCAATGTTTCGTTGGAGTATCTTGTTGCATTGGCCAGAGAACATCAGCTAATTTTAGCGAATAAGGAGACATGATACACTTAACCCTCATTTGCCCGAGGCTTGCCCGTTACATCCACACCATCTAGAGTAAACCTAAACACATTTCTGCTTGTTTAAAACACAAAAAACATAAGACACTAAGGGTAATGGGAGTCTTTGGCAGTATCAGCATTACAAACATATCCTGATGACAGCCAATGGAGATAGAGAAGAGCGAGAAAACAGAGTTTCGCGGCAAATAATGCATGTGACTTTCTTGCAGTCATAAGTTGATAACAAATGGGATTTACAACTGATATAATTTACAATTGGATCCACTAAATGCAAGTACAACACAAATCAGCAAGCAAGACAGAGATAGCCAAATCCTAAACACAATTAGCACATTCATTGCTCTTCCTACTAGCAAATGTCACACCAAGAACTAAGGAAAAGGGACTGCTTACAGTGAAACAAACACGTTATCGCTGAGCCTTCTGACTAATTGCTCAGCTCCAAACTTCCAATCCTCCGTACTGCAGAAGCAAATGACGAGCTTAAATTACCATTCTCTTCCCGAATCGCATACAAAAGCTCCATCAGTAACAATGGAGAGGTTCAAAGCATATCAACCAAAGAAAACAAAGTACAATCTAATCGTGCGAAGCCCCAACGGATCATTTCCAGTCCAAAATTAGCGGTGCCTCACGCCGGAGATTCAACGAATTCCAGATAAACCAAAAGTAAATGAACAGAAACTAGCGCCGCCCACGAACAAACAGTCGACCTAAACAAAGATGAGATCGTTCATCTTCGTCAACGTCTAAGAACTCCAGCAACAGCAGAAACCCACGAATTTACCTCCCTAAGATTCCATGGACCATAACAGCGAGGTGATCAGCGGGAAAAAAGAATCCGAATCCTCGCAACTCCAAACATCACGGCTTCGATCCAGAGTATCTGCAGAGCAAACGCCGTTCCCGTGCTCCTCATTGAAAAAACCCGGCCAAGCACCGCCCAGTACAATCCGATTTCAGCAATAAAACCGAGTCAAACAGAAGCGTGGTGATGTTTAGAACCGAGTCAATAATATGTTTTTAAAAGATATATGCAAATAAAATGTTAGGAGTATAAATATAAAAACATTATAAAAGAGACAATGGAAGCACTAGAGAGGAATAATAGTAATAGAATATAAATTATTCAAATGGAAAACAAAAATATATCAAAATTAAAGACTTATTAAATAATTTAAATATAGTAAAAATCAAATAAAAGATAATAATAATTTAAAATAAATAGCCGATCACTTATTTATTTGTCCTGCCCCCAGTGCGCATTGATATTCAATTATTTATTTAGCATATTTACTTTCTTGCGAAATTACATTTTCTCAACGTCTGCAATCTCCCACGTCACGCCTTCCTTCTTCCCGACCCTTCGATGATGCTCGCCGTCTCCGCCTCTCCTCCGCTCATCTCCGCCGCATCTCTTTCTAAATCCACTTCCTCTCTCTTACCTCTTCTCTCCACCACCAAAACCACTCTCCGTTTCCCCAAAACCGCTCGACACATCTCCATCTACAAACCCCCCATGAATAACCTCCTGAGTCGACTCGGGTTAGGCACTCGTCCGCAACCAGCCGACCCCTCGTCGGCGGCGATTGCTCAGGGCCCAGATGACGATGTTCCGGCGCCGGGACAACAATTCGCGCAGTTCGGGGCTGGTTGTTTCTGGGGAGTGGAGCTTGCATACCAGAGGGTCCCTGGTGTGACGAAGACCGAGGTGGGCTATAGTCAGGGGTTATTGCACAACCCGACTTACGAGGATATTTGTACGGGTACAACGAACCACAATGAGGTTGTTAGGGTTCAATATGATCCTAAAGAATGCAGCTACGAGACCTTGCTTGACGTTTTATGGGTTCGCCACGACCCCACTACCTTGAATCGCCAGGTGAGTTCGTGTCTATGTGCTTGATATTCTTGGGCATTCTCTGGTTTATAAAGATTTTGTGTTCTTTCGGTCGATTTCGGAATCAACGAGATTCCACAGCAGCTGAATGGAGGCATTTGCGCTTGGTTCATCATGTCAGAAATGGTGTTTAGGGTGAAATTCATGACAATTGGAGCTGAATACTGTAAATTTCATGGTGTCTCAGAATCGTTTTGGTTCAATCTTGATACCCTCGATCACTAGTGCCAGATTCCATCAGAAAGGATCAAACTTGGTGATGATTTGGGTCGATTCATGATCCCCGAAAACATTTTTTTAATTACTCCGCTAGATTTGAGGCATTACCGAGGTTTGATTCTGTTTCTGGACGAATCCGTGGTAACTTCTGCTGCGTGCTTTTGCAGGAAATCTTGATTTTATCTGGAGGATGTGTTGAGTATTTGATTAATGTATCAGTAGTAGCTTTGCTCATCATTGATAAATTCGGCAGTGATGCTCTAATTTCTGTCTGAAGTTAGAACTACGTGAAGCTTTAGCTTGGATGTTAGATCCTTTATTCTCTTTTCCTCGGATGGCCAGTAAACACTGAGGAAACTTTTGGTTATGAGTCTAGATTCTGATTTAAACTACTCTTTCATAATCACCTCATGTGTTTGTGTGCTTGAATGTTACATAGATCAATGTATCATATATTCATTGATGATTTTGATATCTTTTATCATATTGCTAGTAGTATTACTTTTCATCAAACTCTTTTCTTTTTCCGGTGCTTAGGGGAATGATGTGGGAACCCAGTATCGATCAGGCATATACTATTACACACCCGAGCAAGAACAGTTGGCCCGTGAATCCATGGAGAAACAGCAGAAGCTCTTGAACAGGAAGATCGTGTCTGAGATCATTCCCGCCAAGAAATTCTACAGAGCAGAGGAATACCACCAACAGTACCTCGCCAAAGGTGGTCGCTTCGGGTTTAGGCAATCCACCGAGAAAGGTTGCAATGATCCGATCCGATGTTATGGCTAACCCACAAAGGTCATCTCGCAAACTATCCTCCTTTTAAGTACCTACACACAAAAAAAATGTAAAAAACAAAATTCAGGTTCTTGTCTCATGGGGGGACACTAAACCGGTCTGGTTTATAGCTCTATATATTCGTCTGTCTTGTGTTCTTACCCAATGATGGTTTTTTTTTCTGTATATGCTATATGAATTTGATGCATCTTTGATGTTTTGAACATCGTCTTGTCCACTAGTTGCTTGTAGTTGTTGCAGTTCTAATACCATATATTCGATTAATGGATAACTGTATTCATTATCGCTGTTCCCATAACCTTGGAGAACACGAAGACTGAAGCAACACTCCACTGCCATGATTGATCATCATGCTCTACCCTATCTCCAGACCAGACTGAAGCAGCTACATTGAGTTGATTGCAGAAACAATATCCTAGTTCTTTTAATTTAAGACAACTAACGTAATCCTCGGTCCCAACGTAATCAAATTTTCTGATAACGTATAATCTTCCATCAAGTTAAGACAAGGAGAAGATTTCCCATTGCGTAAGCCCTACGCTCCAAATCCAATGGAGTTCCTGACTAACCGATCTATGTCGGAGGAGGAAGCGATTCCATTCAAACACGTGATGGTCGATTATGGTTATGATGCAACTTGTGGCAATGGAGGGAACACAGAGAGGGTTTTGAGCTTCCATCGAGAATCATAGGGTCTTGTTGATGTTTCTTCCTCTCTATGATAACAAACTAATTGTACCCTACGTCGATCCTCAAATTTGCCACTAGAGATGGCATACGTACAACATATAACATGACCCATTAATCTCTTCGATAATATGCCTCTCGAGATCGCATATTATCATATAATGTGGTTTATAATATCTTTTTTCCAATTTTTATGCATATGGCTAACCAACCGAATCGAACATAATATATGTTTAATACTCTGTCCTAAACTTATTCCAATCATTTGGAGAAAACTCGTAGATGATGTTAGTATAAATGTGGGTCTGGATGCGGGAAAGAACAACAAAATCAATGAAATCGAAATAAAAACGTAAGAACCCGGATATAATCTTCTAGGCGTGATTTCACTTTCCTAAAACGTTATTCCCTCCCCACCGAGCAAAGGAGAAACCCGAGAATACGTTTAGAGATACAAAGAAGATCAGCAACGATTGATCTGCTCCTCAAACGTTGTCCGAAACAGAAAAACCTGAGAAAGAAGATGAACAGTAAAAGATGGAGAAGAAGTAGCAAGTTTCTTCACCAACAAGGCTCACAAATCTCTCAAAAATCAATTAGATTTTCGTTTTTTTTGTCCAAACATTTTGGAATGTTTTTTAACACTCCAAAAGTCAAAAGGTGCAAAGAATCATAAGTTTTTTCCCGAACAGACACGATTTTTCGTTCATTTTGAACAACTCAGAAAAATCAGGCGGGTCACTCATTTTCCGAGCGGTCGCTCATTTTCCAGTTTTGTTCATCAGAGAAAATGAGCTACCCGCTCATTTTCCTAACCGATCGCTCATTTTCCAAGCGGTCGCTTATTTTCCGAGCGGTCGCTCATTTTCTCCAGTTTTGTTTATCAGAGAAAATGAGCTACCCGCTTATTTTCCTAATCGGTCGCTCATTTTCCAAGCGCTCGCTCATTTTCCGAGCGGTCGCTCATTTTTTCCGTCAGAGAAAATGAGCCACCCGCTCATTTTCTTGAACGGTCGCTCATATTCCGAGCGGTCGCTCATGTTTTGAGCGGTCGCTCATTATTTTCAGTTTTGTTTCATAGGGAAAAACGAGCTACCTTCAATATCTTCCGACTAATCCTTAACACTTTACCAATTCACGACACGTCTTTTACAAGCATTTTACTCCTCCACCACACTTGTAATACACGTGAAACAATAATCTTTTAAGAGATTTTAAAGTCCACCAATCTACTCTAAAATAAGTAACAATCCTCCACCATTTTAGAGTAGGTTGTCTATGGAAATTAAGCGACAATCCGTCATCCTCACAACTTTGTGCATAAATGAAAGTATCTTTCGATTGAACTTCCACTTAGTGTAACGTACAACAATAAACTCGAATTACATAGGTGTCGAAACGATTGAACCTAGTAATCCTAATTGAGCTACCGAGTACAAAACACACACAAAGTCACTACAAGTTTTTCTGTAATCCTTGACACTATAACGGCCATGTGTCCATATCCATTCATAAGCACACGGATGTTGAGCCACCAACATCTTGAAGCGGTCTCACTTCATGCTTGTATAGGTGAATCCTTTATGGTATCGTGCCCTGCAACTAGGCACTTTGTCAAAGGACTCATTAAGTTAAAACATCCTCTTTACATTGCATAACCTAGATGCTTACCTCGGGATGTGTTGTCGTGAAGCATCTACAATCACATAGTAAATGATTTAACTCATTGAACTCAAGATCTAGCGTTGTACTAGACGTTGAGTTGAGATTCCTTTACTTGCAATTTATAAAACCGACTCTAGTCCCATCCCTTGCGACATTTTGTGTACCACGTTCCTTGGCAAACTTTTTGTGAAAGCATCCGCCAAATTTTGTGTGGTCCGCACAAAATCCACCATTCCTCTAATCAGACTATTCACATAGCTATGTCTTAAACCGATGTGTCTAGACTTTCCGTTATAAACATGGCTATATGCCTTAGCCAATGTCGCAGCACTATCACAATGTATTGCAATAGGCGATACCGGTTTAGACCATAACGGTATTTCGAATACCAAATTCCTAAGTCATTCTGCTTCTTTCCCAGCAGCCGCTAAGGCGATAAATTCCGACGCCATGGTCGAATCCGAAATGCAAGTTTGTTTCTTGGAAACCCAAGAAATCGCCGCTCCACCTAAAAGGTAAAGCCATCCACTCACCGAGGCATAATCCTCTTCACTAGAGTTCCAACTCGCATCGGTATATCCTTCTAACACCGAAGGTTGACCCGTGTAGTGTAGACCATAATTAATTGTTTTTTCAAGTACAGAAGTACTCTCCATACAGCGTTCCAATGATGTACGCTTGGGTTACTCGTGTATCTACTCAACTTCCCTATCGCGTATGCTATGTCGGGTCGAGTGCTAGTCATAGCATATATTAAACAACCAATGACACTAGCTAGCGTACTCAAGTTGAGCTACCGATTCCCCACTATTAGGGGCAAACTTAGCGCTACAATCCATTGGAGTGGAAGTCGGAGGGCTTTCAAACACATCAAATCGTTTTAACACTTTCTCTACGTAATGTGATTGAGATAGTGTTATCGAACCTGGATCCCGTTTTATCCTAATGTCTAGGATAACGTCAGCCTCACCTAAGTCTTTCATCGAAAACTTCGATGACAAGAAGTTTTTGGTCTTCTTGACTTGCTCTAATTCTGTACCGAATATGATCATGTCATCCACGTATAAGCAAATGATAACTTCATGACCGTTATTATCAAACCTGCTATATACACACTTGTCTGATTGATTCAGACGAAATCCGTTAGCCAAAACGACATCATCAAACTTTTAATGCCATTGTTTGGGTGCTTGTTTTAACCCATACAATGATTTGACTAACTTGCACACCTTGTGTGCTTGTCCCGATAGGATAAAACCTTCTGGTTGCTTCATATACACCTCCTCCTCTTCTAGATCACCATTCAAGAATACCGTTTTGACATCCATTTGGTGGATCACAAGATTGTTTATCGCTGCAAGCGCGATCAACAATCTTATAGTAGCTATTCTAGCTACCGGTGCATACGTATCAAAGAAATCAATACCTTCTTTTTGCCTAAATCCTTGAGCTACTAGACGAGCCTTGAACTTATCGATAGTTCCATCGACTCTCATCTTCTTTTTGAAGATCCACTTGCAACCAATCGGTTTACAACCTGGAGGAGAATCTACTAAGATCCAAATGTTGTTGATCATGATAGAGTCCATTTCATCATTTATCGCTTCTTTCCAGAATGCGACATCCTGCGATCTCATCGCTTCATCAAAAGTCCTAGGGTCTCCCTCGATATTGTAAACATAAGCGAGTTGAGTCATGATCGACTCATTAGTACCTTCTACTAGCTAGGTACATGTGAAAGTCTGGACCAAAGGTTTTTTCTTTCCTTATACGCTTACCTCTACGAGGTTCACGTTGTCCGTCATCGTGATCGACTACTCTATCACTTGAACTCGGTATAGCTCGAGGTTATCTTTCAACCGAAGAAAAGTGACTCTCGTCGAATACTGCATCTCTCGACTCTATAACCGTATGAACGGTTATATAGTCGTTCTGTTCTATAACATAGAACCTATAGGCCTTGCTATGAGAAGCATAACCTATAAAGATACACTCGATTCCTCGTTCACCCAAAGTTTTTCGTTTGGGTTCCGGCACTTTCACTATTGCCCAACAACCCCAAATCCGAAAATAATTCAGATTTGGTTTTCTCTTATACCATAGCTCATATGGGGTTATTTTATTCTTTTTTGAGGGAACTCGATTAAGAATATAGCAAGTCGTTAACATGGCTTCTCCCCAAAAAACCCACGTTTAATCCCGAGAAAGAAAGCATGGAATTTACCATTTCTTTCAACACCCTATTCTTTCTTTCCGCTACACCATTTTGTTGCGGTGTATACGGAGCGGTCTCTCATGAATCATGCCTACGGATTCAAAAAATGTTGGATCATAATATTCCCCTCCCCTATCGGTTCTAAGCTTCTTGAGCTTAACCCCGAGTTGTGTTTCAACCTCGGACTTGTACACCCTAAACTTATCCAAAGCTTCGTCTTTAGAATGCAACAAGTAAACGTAGCATAACCTAGTCGTAAGCTCTCTTCTGAATCTGGGACGTATGAGGTTCTTCCTCTAGGGTTTGTGGCGGCTCTCCTCTTAATTAAGATTGTCCAAAACCCTTAAAACGCGAAAATAGGAAATCTGCCCGAAAGTCGGACCGTCCGGTCTAGGTCGTGGACCGGACGGTCTGGGTTTTAACGTAGAACGGACGGTCCGTTTTTACTCGCAGAACGGACGGTCTAGATGCCGGACCGTCCGGTCCAGATCTAGAACGGACGGTCTGGCGATCGCGGAACGGACAGTCCATTTCTACTGGAACGGACGGTCCGAAATGGCTGGGGCGCCCCGCGCCATTCGAAGTGGCAGTGGCTTCGGGAACCTTTCCCGAACCACAAGTCATGGTTAGCCTCTAGCAAGACGCCATGACTACCCACCTAGA